ACATATTTTGATCATATAACGAATTGTGTCTCACTATACCCATACCGTCGAGTATACAATTTGTTATATTTCAATGATCATGGAACCTTAAATTATTGTCGTAAATTCTAACACGCGAATAATAGAACGTTAATTCATAATGTCGTTACAATATACTTACTACAAAAAGGGCATCAAACTAACAATCATCACATGTCACAGTTCTTGGTGGAAACGCCTTTGGGTTCAATTCATAGTCCAAATGCCTCCCATTGGCTTGCGCAGCATATTCTACTTTCTGTTGCCATGGCTTTCATCTTTATCACCTTCCTCGTAATCTGAGAAACTGTTAGTTGATTCAGTGGTATTGTGACTGTTAATTGATTCCGTGGTATTGTGACTCAAAGTAATTTTTAAATATCGTAGGCATTCCAGGAAAAAGTTCTGCTTGGAACTAAAGAAGCTGGTTCGTAGGTAGAGGAAGGTGAGCCAACAACTTTCCGCATCAAGCTATCAGAAACTCCTTTGAACTGCCGTACAATATCATCCACAGCATCATCTACATTAACTGTTTAGACCAAAAAAACATTAACCATGACTATAACATTTAGGTAACAGTCAAAAACTCGAATTTAAATAAACCAAATAGATAAGTAAACAAGAAAGCAATTAGGCTTCTGAAGGAGTGAGCAAGAGATTAACTGTTCTATTGAAGAATTTTATAAATCACCGTCGACATATAATTTTATCATGATTCATTCGTGTCCCATGATATACATAACCTTTCACAGGTAAATGATAGTGAAACTTCACAACTTGAATTACGGTAATTGTTTAGTTGTATAAACAAAATGAGTTAAATGTGGCAGACTGCCAGCAAACTAATCGTGCATTTTCAATTTCTTAATCTCAAGCAGCAAAAACAGCACGACAACTATAACTTAAGAAGGCAGAATTTAGTGAAACAAACCTATCCTTGGAAAAATTTGGTAAACCTACCATGGAATTCTGATCGATTTACATTGCAGTTACATATAGAGTACTAGAACATCAACAGCCTCGCCACGAATGACGTAATTCTAAACTAGCAACAAGTTGAAGTGCAACAGACAAGTATTAGTTCAATAAATCCGAGAACTCTATACATGTAGAAATGAATGATATTCACATATCAAAAAAGCAGGATGAAGCTGCTTAGAAGCCAGGAGATGGTGTTTCAACCTTTCATCTCGTTCTTCAGAAGAAAGTGTTCCCAGGCCACGACATCCACACCAATAAAAGCATGGTTTTTTCTGAAAAGATCCAGGAGATCTCCTATCATGTCTACAACATCCCTGGATAGATGAAAAAAAAGGTTTAAACACTTGATTAATCATTTATTCACGAATTCACATGGTTTTACAACTTCATAGAAATAGACAGAGATAGTTGTGATCAAAGAGGCAACTAAATACCTCGTCAAAAGGTCAACAAGGTTTACTTCTTTGAGTCTGCCAGATACTTCGCCAAGTGCATCCATGATTACAGCACGCATCAACTCAGGTGCCTCTTTGTCAGGAGTAATATCAGAATACCACAGATCAATGACAAAATCGCTCAAAAGCTTGTCGATAAAATCCCGCATAGCTGCCTCTACAACTGCAGAATCAATTTTTTTCTTCCATTTTGGTGGGGGAGGCGTGGTAGTAAGATGAGAATCATTCGCTGAGAGCTGCTTCTTTTCTAAGTGTGACAAGTAGGACTGTGGTCTGGCATTATGAACCTTCCACCGAAATTCAACCTCATCGAATAACATTCTTAGCCCAGAAACCAAGAGAACAGCTATGGATGCATTCATTAACATCGATTTACTTGTATCTGAAATCATGAATTATAATTAGAAACGGCATCATGGTAAGAAAGGCGGCCGCATATTTCCAGTAAAAGATCCTACTGAATATTAAACAAACATGGTAAGAATGGTGTAATTGGAGAGGCGACGAAGTAGTAGTCATGCTCGGCATTACCCAACTCTCTCGCGAAATGATTTGTTTTGGAAGATTTCAAGATTTGCTTCAAAAGTTGTGTGATAGTTGTGTTTTATGAAAATTTGTAACATTAGGGATAGTTTTGGTAGTTTCATTTTAAAAAGTGGTCATTTACTAAAGAGGACATATTGCCGTGGCCATTTATTGGTATTTCCCATTAATCTCGTAGTAAAAATGAAGATTAAAAATCATTAAAAAAAAAGAAATTAATCGTTACATTTGGATACTGAATAGTATTGAGACATACACCCACTCATCAGTCAAACAATAAAGGAACTTATGGGCGAGACACCGAAAGCCTCGTTTGAAAAAATAGCCTAAAAGTAGCAAATTTTCTTATGCAACTAAAAAATTCGAGGAGAATTTTCTTGTATTTAATGTAATGAAAATGCAAATCGACTGGTTCCTTTTCTTATCAGTGTTAGTTCATAAGCACGGTCATTTAGGGAATGAGACTTCGTTATTGAAACATATTTGTACAATGTGTATCACATAAACAAGAAATTCTGTTATATAGCCCGTTATATTGAGACATATTTTTGGCATAGAAATTAGAAAGTGATCGAATTGGAGAATGATGTCTGAATCAAAATTGTAGTCAGATCAGTTAGCTTTCCAACTCATTTTGAATCGCCTCAATCGGACATCAGAATGCAAAGTTATAATAAAAACATTGAAAGAAGGTGCAGCTGCTTGTTTGAAATAAGAAATCTCGTTACATAGTCCGTTATATTGAGACCTATTTTTGGCATAGAAAGTGATCCAATTGGAGAATGATGTCTGAATCAAAGTTGTAGCCAGATGAGTTAGCTTTCCAAAGAATTTTGAATCTCCTCAATCAGATATCGAAATACAAAGTTATGATAAAAATACTGAAGGAAGGTGCAGCTACCTGTTTAAAACAAAAAATTTCGTTACATAATCCGTTATATTGAGACATATTTTTGGCATAGAAAGTGATCGNTTGGCACAGAACGTCTCTACCTTTACATATTCTTGCGTAAAACATCATTTTCACTAATTTTTAACATAAAATGACCAATATACCCTCCTATATAAATAAAACAAAAAAGAAAAGAAAAGAAAAATAAAGAATAAATTGCAATCTGCTCATAATTTTTTTTTGAAAAATACAAATCAGTCCAAAAAACTTGTGATTTTTTGCCTTATTTTTTTCCAACCCAAATGCGTCTAAATTCCTGAAGCCTCCGACCACCCCCATGATCGGAACTCACCTCCTATCAATTGCCCATCACCAGACGACCACACTCATATGCCAACAATTTACAACAAACATCAACAAAAAATTTGGGCGAAAAAAGGGCCTGCCACCAGAAACCATGAGACCAGAAGCTATTGAACCTGGCTTTTAGAGTAATTGTTCTGGTTGCATAGTTGTTTTAATTGTCGGTTTAATAAAAGCCGGTCAAAAAGTGTTATGATCATTAGCATATGAAGGAGGATATCAATATGGTCTAATCTGCATAGTTTGGATGGATGTATGTGAATCAAGGGTAGCATTACAGAAGCACTCCACAGTGAGAACTACAACACCACCATTGGCGAAATTTGGGCGAAAAAAGGGCTATCTTTACCGACCCTTTTCAGCTTCCGAGTGCTGGACCAGAAGCTATTGAACCTGGCTTTCACTTCCCCACTCTGAAACACCACTCAACTGGACATCACTTTCCCAAATCCTGTTTCCGTCGCTCTTTAACTTTGTTTGGAACCAACCTTTTGACAATGGATTTGATTTTGCCGGGGACATGAATTTCTTCGCTAATCAGAGTGCGAGTTCTGGTTCTATTTTGATGGGTGACTTGGGTCCACCGGAATCGAGTTCTGAATTTCCGACAAATACTCGTTTACATTCGTTTTCCGACTACAACACAACCATTGGTGGTGGTTCTGAAGTTTTTGGTTTCGAGGATTACGGGAATGCTCTGTTGGATTGAGACCACTTCAAGGGTTTTCACTAGTTGGATTACAGCCTACCCTCTTTCAGAAGAGAGCTGCCTTACGGCANTCTTTCAGAAGAGAGCTGCCTTGCGGCAAGGCTCTAGTGGAGTCACGAATTGAGGGATTTGGAGCTCCCCAGCTTCAAAAGTGGTGAGGGTTCCATGAGGATAGAGGGGAGTTGGGAGAAGAGAGATGATGCTGGGAAATGGAATTGGATAAGAAGAGGACTCATTTGTAGTTTTTAAAAAGTTTTAAGAGTAAAATTAAAATTTATTCTTTATTTTTCTTTTTTGTTTTATTTATATATGACGATATATTGATCATTTTATGTTAAAAATTGGTGAAAATGATGCTTTGCGCAAGAAAAGGTAAAGGTAGGGATGTTCTGCGCCAAAAAATGAAAGGTAGAGACGTTTTCCACACAAACCGTCAAAGGTAGGGATGTTTTGCGCCAATTACCCAAAAAATAATTACATGACAGAAAAAAGGGTACGCTACAGGTAATTAAAAAAAAAAAAGGAAAAATAAAAATTCTATTTAACATGTCAATATTTGAGATAACTACGAGATTTCGAATGAAGTCGAAATATTATGTTCTTATATCATCTTGAAGCGCTTACGACCTAATTTTTAACATCATTCAAGCGTACGAAGCAGCCAATCATAGTAAATGTTATTGTGAGTCGAATTTTGATTACACAATAACTTTAAAAAAATTTCGATGATCGTACGTTAGTCAAATTCTTAAATCACATACATTATCTCAATGTTTGTTTTGAGAACTACATCTTGGATAAATCGAGTTGCAACGAATATAAAAAAAAAAGTTAAACGTGCTGTTAAAAAGAGAAGTGTAACATGTATCTTCTTTAATTTTTTTTTCAATTATTTCATTAATATTTATTATTTTTGTGTTTCAATATAATTTACATCGTTTAATTAGAATTTTTGCACGAGGTATCACGTCGAAATTTTTCGAATGTAAAACCTAAAAATTCATAATAAAATTTTTACATACGAAGACGCCATACTACACGTAAGTTATTTTGAAAAATTTGCCACGCAAAAATAATAAACGTTAATGAAATAATTTAAAAAATTTAAAGAAAATATGAGTTATATGTCCCTTTTTAATACGCATGTTTGATGCACATTTAATTATTTTCGATGTTCGTTCAGATAATTCGATTTGTCCATGATATAGTTCTCGAAATGAATTTCGAGATAATGTATGCGATTTAATAATTCAACCCGCGTACGATCATCAAATTTTTTTTAAAGTTAGTATGTTATCGAAATTCTAGAAATATTAGTTTGGAAATGTGTACTTTGACTAGCGATAACATTTGCTACGATTTGCTGTTTTGTATGTTAATGATGTTAAAGATTAGGTCGTTAACACTTCAAAATAATAATAAAAATTTAATATTTCGATTTCGATTTCGATTTCGATTTCGATTTCGATTGACATCTCAAAATTATCTTGAAAATTGACATGTTAAATAAAGTTCCTTTTTTTAAAAAAAAAAATTACCCGTAGCGCACCTTTTTTCATTGCCACGTGATCATTTTTTAAAATTCTGTAATAGTATGTATTTATTTTTAAAATTTGAGTTGTAAAGTTTAATGACGAGGGCATTAATGAAATAACAGGTTCAAAGGCAAAAGAAAATTAAAGCAGACAGTTTTGCCTTTTGCCGTCTGCTTTTGGCGCTCCTCGAGGCTGACCTCGCATTTCTCATTTTTCTTGTTCACACTCATACCCTCAAGACATCTCTCAGGGTGCGGAGTTTTTGAATGGAGTTTTCAAATCCTCTGCTCGTAGAGTATCGAGACGATCGCCGAAAGCTTCTCGAGTTTCTACTATCGTCGGGCTCGATCAAAGAAATCAAAACTCCGGCTGGCCTCACTACCTCAATTTCGAACATCGATTTCGATTCTCTCAGTATTGATTACGTACTTGAATGTATTAAGTCCGGTAATTTAATTTATTTGTGAAGTTATTATATAGTTTTGATTTTAAACTAGCAGCTTACTATTGTGCAGAAGTATTGAATTTTTGCTAATCTCATAAATTGCCGGTCTCACCACCTCAATTTCTAACATTCATTTCGATTCTCTTAGTATGATTGCATCTGGTAATTTAATTTTGTGTGAAGTTAATGCTAAGTTGTAATTCTAAACTAGCAAGCTCAAGTGTTTTAGGTGTAAATTTTGTTTAGCATGATTAATGATGGTTTAGATGTTACTGGATCGATTCCTTTCTGGAAATTTGTTGTTTTCCCCCTTGGTTTTATTTTTGAATGTCGAATGTCCTTTTAGTTGGTGAGTTCTTGCACTTTCTATTTTTATATATTGTCATACAAAGCTTTTACGTATGTGCATATATATGTGTGTGTGTGTGTGTGTGTGTGTACGTGAGTGTGCGTCCATTACTGTGTATGTTTGCATCCTCATTTTGTCGTATTTATCACTTTGCTTGCTGTCTTTCATCATTTTGGCGGCTTTAGATGATCTTTTGTAACTGATTAGGTGGTTTGCTTGATGTTTCGCTAGCATGGAAGGGATGTTATGATGAATCTTCACTTCCAGCCATGGTAAGTTATATAGGAAAAGAATATTTCTGGAATTTTTTTCCTTTGGGGTATCATGATTGTTTAATTGAGCTTAAATTGATATGTAATGTTTACTTGGTTTCCTGTAATTTCTAGTCCCACTTTTGATTATTCACTGTGTTATATATTCAAATTGTACATAATTTTGTATTTGCTAGTCATACAGTCTATTAAATACATTTCGCGGGATCCACTACTATTCCTCTTTATAAACCATTTAAAAATTTGCCAAACTGAGTCATAGTATCGGCAAGGTATACCGTTTACAGTTGATTATTTTAATAGATTCCTTACCTGTGTTTATCTGGTAAGTATCTTTGAGGGTAGGGAGTGTTAAGTGGAAAATTAACATTAAAGATGCCGTAAACAGGCTGCTAATAGCTGAGCATGAACATCAGTCGTTTATCGAGGTTCCATTTTGGAAGATAGGATTGAGAAGAGAATTCTCCAATTCTGTATACCTGTCAAAAATTGTGATGCAGGACATAAATCACATTATGTTGTATTTTAATCTCTAACCCATCTAAAACCTCTTGGGAAAAGTTTAACTCCATTCTGCAGAGTCCTTTTTCCTATAGGTTTTGGATCACCATTTTGTCTATAATCGCTATCCTATACATGCTTTAGATTTGATTTCTCTATTCGTCTAGGGTATTCCCAATATCCCTTAGGTAGGTGTGAGAATTTGTTTGCAGCAGACGAGAAAGGCTTTCATTTGAAGATATGCCATTAAGGTTACTTTTGTTTGCATTAGATCGGAGAATATGTTGATATACATAAAGTAGGANGTAAATTGAATTGGAGGTCTATCAAATACTCCCCCCAATGCAGTCACCTTGTCCTCAAGGTGCAGATTAGGAAATTGCTGGCTGATTAATAAAAAGGGTTCCCACGTGGCTTCCATAGGAGATAAGCCCTTCCACTGAATCAACACCTCCATACCTCTGGTTCCCCCTTGGTCCCTGAATCCCAAGACCAATTCTGGTTCCACAAGCAGTTCCCAATCTTCCCCCAACTGACTGGGTAACGGAGACACCATTTGAGCACTTCCCACAACTTTTTTTAACTGCGAAACGTGAAATACTGGATGGATGCGAGTTGTATCAGGCAAAGCTAAACGATAGGCCATATGTCCCACCCTTGCTATTATTTCAAAAGGACCGTAATATCTCGGGGATAGCTTCTCATTTGAGCGGCGAACTAACGATTTCCGCCTGTACGGTCTCATCTTCAAGTACACCCAATCACCCACAATGAACTCGACTTCCCTCCTGTGCTTGTCTGCAGCCAACTTCATCTGTTGTTGTGCTTTGTGCAGATGCACCTTCAACTCTTCTAGAAGTTTGTCCCTTTCTAGCATCTGTTGCTCCAGGGACGAGACGGCTGTTGAACCCTTCTCAAACCGAACCAATGGAGGCGGGTCGCGACCATATAAGATGCGGAAAGGAGTGAGTTGAGCTGAGACATGATAGGATGTGTTATACGAGTATTCTGCCCAATGCAAGAACTGGTACCACTGATTTGGTCTGACCGAGGCAAAGCATCTGAGATAAGTCTCCACTCCCCTGTTCACCACCTCGGTTTGCCCGTCTGTTTGGGGATGGTACGCTGAACTGTGTTTCAGCCAGGTGCCCTGCAGTTTGAAGATTTCATTCCAGAATTGACTCACGAACACTTTATCCCTGTCGGATACAATAGAGCGGGGTACTCCATGTAGTCGAACTACTTCCTTTGTAAAGATGGTCGCAATAGAAGGGGCTGAAAAAGGATGTTTCAGCCCTATGAAATGTGCGTACTTGCTTAAACGATCAACAACCACTAAGATCGAATCAAACCCTGCGGACTTGGGCAACCCCTCCACGAAATCCATTGAGATATCTTCCCAAACCTTGTCCGGAATGGGTAATGGCTGGAGCAGTCCAGCCGGAGCCAAGGTTGAATATTTGTGTTGTTGGCAAATGGTGTAGGCAGCCACATAAGTTCTGATGTCTCGCCTCATCCCCTTCCAGAAGAAAGTGTCAGCCACCCTCCGATAGGTCTTAAGGAAGCCTCCATGCCCCCCAATCTTACTATCATGACCCTCATGTAATGCCATCTTAACCCACGGCGAATCTTTGGGCAGCGCAAGTTTGCCATTGTAAAGCAGGTGGCCCCGGAGCAGGGAAAACCCTGGGGCAACTGAATGACCCTTGTGTAGGGAAGTGCATATCGCACCTAGTTCGGTATCCTCTGCTACTGCTTTTTGAAGCTCGCCCAACTTCAGAGAGTTTGGGACACTGAGGGCCATAAGTGAGGTTGTTGCATCCACTCGTGACAGTGCATCAGCTGCTTTGTTTTCCAACCCGGCCTTGTACTCGATGTCAAAATCAAATCCTAGCAATTTGGTCAGCCAATGTTGGTATTCTTGGTTGATTTCCCGTTGCTCCAGCAGAAATTTTAAGCTGCGTTGGTCCGTTCGTAGCACAAACCTTCGACCCAATAAATAATGTCTCCACTTCTGTATTGCGAAAACTATGGCCATGAGTTCCCGTTCGTAAATAGACTTGCCCTTTGCCCTGGAGGGAAGAACTTGACTGAAGAACGCAATTGGCCGGTGATTCTGCATAAGGACCGCACCTAACCCATTCCCTGATGCGTCTGTTTCTAAAACAAATGGCTGGTTAAAGTCGGGCAATGCCAAAACCGGCACAGTAGTCATGGCTTCCTTCAGCCTCATGAAAGCTTCTTCAGCCTCTGCATTCCAGCCGAAACTGTTTTTCTTTAGTTGTTGAGTTAATGGCCAAGCCATGGCTCCATATGATTTAACGAACCGCCTATAATACCCGGTTAGTCCTAAGAACCCCCTTAGCTCCTTAATAGACTTGGGCCTAGGCCAATCCCGCATAGCTGCGATCTTAGACTCATCAGCTGCTACACCAGACGCGGAGATAATATGCCCAAGATAGTCTAACTCTTTCTGCCCGAACAAGCATTTTCTGTCATTTGCATACAACCGATTTTCCCTCAATACAGTTAACACCTCAGTCAAATGATCCCTGTGTTCCTCTACTGTCTGGCTGTACACTAGGATGTCGTCAAAGAACACCAAAACGAACTTCCGGAGGTGGTTACGAAAAATGTGGTTCATGAGGGATTGAAATGTTGCCGGCGCATTCGTTAAGCCGAATGGCATTACAAGGAACTCATAGTGCCCCTCATGAGTTCGAAAGGCTGTCTTGGGAACATCCTCCGGCCGCACTCGAATCTGATGATAACCGGACTTCAGGTCTATTTTTGAGAATATGGTGGCCCCATTTAGCTCGTCGAGTAATTCGTCGATCACAGGTATTGGAAATTTATCGGGCACGGTGACCTTATTCAAGGCTCGATAATCGACACAAAACCTCCAGCTCCCGTCTTTCTTCTTTACTAACAACACTGGGCTCGAAAATGGACTGATACTTTGCTGTATAAGGCCTGCTGCTAACATTTCGCGAACCAGCTTCTCTATCTCATTTTTCTGAAAATGGGGGTAGCGATAGGGCCTTACACTAACAGGGGCGGCTCCAGGTTGCAAGTTAATCGCATGATCCTGAGCCCTCGAAGGGGGAAGACCGTTCGGCATCTCGAATACAGCAGCAAATTGTTTCAGCACTTCTGAAATGAGCCCTGGAGGTTCCTGACCCGTCATTTTGGTCTGCACCATAATATTACTCAACTCCAATAGGGCCCCCTCTCCCTGTGCCTTGAGGGCCTTCAACATAGCCTTCATAGATACCGATGTCCTGCTCAAGCTAGAGTCCCCTTTTAGTGTGACCTTCATGCCAGACACCGTGAAAGTCATTGTGAGGTTCTGCCAGTTGACTTGCATTACCCCGAGTTTACGCAACCACTGCATACCAAGAATGACATCGGAGCTCCCCAATTCCAACGGCAGAAAGTCATCCTCCACGATTACATTCTGTAATTGTAATCTCACCCCCTTACAAATTCCTTCCCCTTTCACCGTCAGCCCGGTCCCCATAATCACCCCATACCCAGTAGTACCTGATAAGGGCAGTCCCAATTGTCTGACCATGTCAACTGCGATGAAATTGTGAGAGGCGCCACAATCTATCAGGACTATAACCTCTTTCGGCCCTATCCTGCCTTTGATCTTCATAGTGTCCGGTGCGGTGAGACCCACAACCGAATTGATTGAGAGTTCAACAGCGGATCCCACTGCCACCCCGTCATCGTCGTCACCATCAAAGCACTCGACGCCGACGTCAAGCGGGTCGCCGACCGGGTCACCGCTCTGTCCTAGCACCCCCTCTCCGTTAGCGTCTTCTTCACCCTCACGGACTACCATCACTTGGAGCTCCCGATTTTTGCATCTATGGCCAATAGTGTACCTTTCATCACAAGTGTAACACAACCCTTTTTCCCTCTTTGCCTGTAGCTCCGAAACGGTCAATCGTTTGAAGGGGACGACGGATTTTTGTGGAAGAGCCGGGCGATGCGGTATTAGATTCAGTGGCACCGTTGGCTTCTGGAATGAAGTGTTGGAGTGGGTTGGAGATGAATTAAACAAGGCTGGAGGGCCTTTAAATCTTGCTGGACCGGAAGCTGTTGGGCCCAATCGCATCATCACATTTCTTTCCTCCACCCTCTGGGCTACCTCCATTATTCGGTCCAGGCCCACAGGTTTTAGTAATAGGACTTCAGCCCTTATGTGGGGAACTAGCCCATTTATGAAATTACACTCTAGAATTTCCTCTGAAACATCCTGTAATGGCGACGCTAGTTTCTCAAACTGCCGGCGGTACTCTTTGACGGAAGTCGTCTGAACGAGGGCCAAAAATTGAGCACATAGTGACCCCTCTTGTGAGGGTCGAAACCGACGAAGTAAGCTGACCTTCAAATCTTCCCAGTTTCTCATGGGCCGACGGCGTTCCTCCCATTGATACCACGCCAACGCATCTCCATCAAGGCATATGGCGGCTGCTTCCCACTTTTCCTCCTCTGTCATTCTATTAACGTTGAAATAACGCTCTACCCGAAAAATCCAGCCATCGGGGTCGCTTCCGTCGAACACTGGCATGTCCAATCGCCGGATTCGCGAATCGGATTTCCACCCACTGTCAACTCCACTTCCCGTGTTCCTGCTTCCCCCAGCACGTGCCTGAGTCTCCCCTACTTCTGGTGATGATTCCTGTGGGTGCGCCGTTTCCCCCTGTTTCTCCTTCCTATCCCGTTCCTGCATCTCTCGATGGCGGAACAAAGCCTCAAATTGCTCCCTCATTTCTGCTCTCAAGGCATCCACATTGGATTGTACGGATGCATGATTATCTGCCACCAGTTGTTCCAGAACTCCGACTCTGTCACTGAGTGTCATGACTACCAAGCTGGATCTATTGCTCTGATACCAATTTGATACGAATTGTAGAGAAAATGCAACAAATGGAATGAAAGAGCACAGCACTCAGGCAGCTTACACTACTTATCACATTATGTTGTATTTTAATCTCTAACCCATCTAAAACCTCTTGGGAAAAGTTTAACTCCATTCTGCAGAGTCCTTTTTCCTATAGGTTTTGGATCACCATTTTGTCTATAATCGCTATCCTATACATGCTTTAGATTTGATTTCTCTATTCGTCTAGGGTATTCCCAATATCCCTTAGGTAGGTGTGAGAATTTGTTTGCAGCAGACGAGAAAGGCTTTCATTTGAAGATATGCCATTAAGGTTACTTTTGTTTGCATTAGATCGGAGAATATGTTGATATACATAAAGTAGGAGGTGATTTGTAGTTAAAATTTAGGGCTGAACTTAGAGTCTTGAAGTAGTTCAGCCTTTGAAAAGGAGGATAAATCTCTTAACTTTCAAAATTAGATATTTCTTGTAAAGACTAGAGCTAACTTCCCTTTGTTATAGCCCCCGTTTGACACCCATTTTCTTCTCATTCTCTTTCTCATTTTTTTCTCTTTTTTCATTTCAACCACACATTCTATTAATAAAATAATGCTACACATAAACCAAAAAATTCTCCTTACTTTTTAACCACACATTCTTCCATCAATCATTATTTCAGAATTTATTTTTTCTCCAAAATGGGTGTCAAACAGGGGCATAATATACACAAAATGTGGACATGGGCACATGTATTTCTATATCATATGAGCAAGGGAATCTGCAGAGCGTGTGCTTAATTTTCAAGGTCAGATTACCAAGGGTGGTTTTGAAGTTCCATCTTAAAACGTCAACCTCACTTAATGAGTAGCCCATGTCTTATATGTGAATTATCTATTTTATCTACAATTGATGTGGGATTTATTTCTAAACATGTTTCTGCAAGTTGGTGGGTCATTTGGGAGTAATAATCGTGAAATCGAATTGCTCGCTTGAGCTTGAGACAAATTGAATTTCTCATTTGATTTGTTGGGCTCCGATACCATTTTGAACCACTTGATTCAAAGCTTAAGTTGCAGTTAAAACCCCATGCATATAACTTAAATATTGTCTTCAATTATCTGTATGCTTAAAATATTCACATTTGAATTTTCAAATTTATGCCTCTTATATGCATCTGATCTTTTTTCCAAATGACCCCGAAAAGGAGCCTAGGAATTTGTGCTTTTTGTCTCCCTAAAATTGCTGGATTTTAAATTTAATCTGTTCCTTCAGCTGGGTTCACTGTTAGTTTGACTTCGTCGTTTTCTGATGAAGAAAGTTATTTATTGTCTCTATATTCTGCAGGTGCACTTGCAATCAGGAGATATTTTTTATCTTCATTCAGATCCAGAGTTGGCTGGATCTCCACCTAGGCGGGCGCCTCCAGTAGTCCATTCCATCCGATCAAGTTATCTGGCCAGTGAACAAGTACCTTTATCTGGTCCTGAAATTGGAGTGAACTGTCAAGTTAGCTCATCTCCAAATTTAAGTCCCACGCATAATTCAGATATTCTTACAGTAGGATTACCAATGCTGAGAACTGGTATATGTTTTCCTTTATCCTGTACAACGATGAGCTCCCCCAACCCCTCCAGACCAAGATGGAAATAAAAATTACATTGTTAATTTTCATAATGTTTGTGGATTTGATTACGCCACCTTTCACTACTCAGGCACAATTCTGATAATCAAACTCTCTCCCGTTGAATTGTAGATTACCGTAGTATGTAATTTGGCTCCCCAAAAGGCCAAAAAATTGTATATTTTCATGTTGTATTGCATATGCTTTTAAAATCTCTAATAAGTCAGCAAATGTGAGGATGCTCAAAATAAAGATTCCAGTCACATATCTGTAGAAATTGAGCCTCGTATTTCACTTTATCATAGTGATCACAGCAGAATCATGTAATAAAAAAAACAATCAATGTTTTTAATGGAAAAAGCACCTCAATGATATAAATAGATTATATGATGATCAAGACTATTTTTGCAAGAATAGCTTCCATGCTACCCATCTACTTTATAGACACGGGGAGGTGTACTATGCTACGCATCTATCTTTTCATTTTTCTGTTGCTCTTTTCCTTTTGGTTCTTCTTTAACATTACACCGTGATATATCCTAAATCCAGGTAATTCTGAATTGGAATTCCAAATCTTGTTTAAGATGATTGTGAAAGTCGGATAAGTGGATCGACAATCATAGCTATAAGCCTCTAAGAGTAGTTCAGGAAAATTACTAGATTTGAACAATGGATTCTGCAACAGTGTTAATTATGTTATAATATGTAAATCAGCAAAACGATTGTAAATAATCCTAAGAATTATCCAAGGTCCAGATAGCTAAATGATTTTAGAGTTTTATATAAATAAAAATCCTTTACCAGTGGAGGATTTTCTTAATATTACGTAAAAATACTATATTGATTCTTAGAATTATACCTTCTACCATCAAAGATGTCCTACTGAGCTTGGCCTTCAAATCCTATCCAATCCTTGTCCCTTTTACCTAACTTTGTTGTTTTTCTTTATTCTCGATTTAGAACTCTTAAAAAATGTTATGTTTACATAATAAATATGCATGGAAACAATAAGGAAAGGTCATAAGAGTCATAATAGGTCAATATTTTTTCAATCTTAACGATCTAAATGAATTTGAGATCTTTCGAATTCCACCTTTTGAGTAAACTGATACATAGTTTTAGGGTTTGTGAAGGATTGGTGGATGATGATTTGCGGGAATTCGCTTACGAAGTATTGCTTGCATGTATGCTGTTTTCAGGGTAATCTCTTCCTCCTGTCTCTAGCTTATGCCTCTGTGCTTGGCAGTCCCTCCAATATATTTACTAGCATGATGTTGGTTTCTGCTTATGTGTGATTGCTTTTACTTGTGTCTTTGACTTGTTCATATATATTGCTTTTCCTTTTTACCTCTTTCTTAAGATGTATATTCACGTTTCTCTTTCTCTGTTCTTGTTCATTAATATTTTGCTTCTTGCTCACCCAGGTTTGAAATTCACATGATTGATGATAAAAAGAGGGAGAAAAGTTCTAGATTTCTTGCTGGTTTGAAAAACAAAAAGGATAAACGACATTTACAGTCCGAGTCTCCAGATAGACATTTGAAGGTTTTTGAAATGATTCGCTTACAAATGCAGGCGAGTTAGGACATACCCTTTTTGTGTTCTTTTATTCAGTGATTAATGCCTTGTTGTATGTCTAGTGAGGTTTTACTTGTCCAGTTCATAATCTCTATTTTATGCGGTGTATTTTTCTCCCCTTTTCCTTTTCTTCATTAGTTTAAATATTAATAGTTATACCATACTTTGCTAAAGTACAAACTATAATGCTATGTGGCATGAGGCATCAATTTTTGCTCTCCTTCTCTCTCTCTCTCTCTCTCTCTCTCCCTCCCTCCCTCCTACCACTCTTCATTCTATCTCACTTTTTAAGATGGTTAAAGGTTAAGTTTCGTCCCAGTATGTAATATGCATTATTGTCACCATATAATGGGTTCAGTTATTGAACCTTGAAAGGGTAAATTTGCTCTAAAGATCTAGAAAAAATTGTCATTGAAGTATTTGCTTCAGAAACCACATCTTTTCATTGATAAGTGTATATGGGTGCCTTCTACAGCAATGACAGATGTGATATCTAAAGTTGTTTGCGGGTGAAGCACTGAGAATGATATGTCAGCTTAAGTTTCTTCTAGAATTACAGTTAAAAGTGTAGAAGAATGGTAAATAGGAACTATCTAGCTGTTCTAATACTGTTTATTACAGCTATTTGAGTTCATAAAATCAAAATTTCATAATCAAAAAACTTGATTGTGAACTCAGAGCAAGATGTATAGTTTAACGATAGTTTTTCTTTTCATTGAAAAGTTTAATTTGGGATAAGAAACATATATTATAGACTTTGAAAGATAATCAATCATTCAAGTACTTTGGCTGGACCATGAAGATCAGTACCCACAGTTGGTCAGTGCCAAGGGTTTCAGCTTCACTTCTTCACTCAATGTTCTAGTCTCTCCCACGTAATGATACGTAATATAGAAAAGTTCAAGTGATTTATTGTTTGAGACAAGTAGTTTCTACTTTCTTTCCTTTACATAGGGAGACAAATGATTCGTCTCAAAAAACATAGGACAATAGCTTATCCACTATAATGCTCAGAGATTGTCTTATAGAGATTTTATTGGAGGCGTGGAGCTTAATATACGCGTTAAACTGTGAGATAGGGCCCACACATATCCATTTAAATATTATCTTCATTAAGCTCCCTAATTGGTGGTGAGATTCATTTTTTTCCACCAAAGCCTAAGCACAATTAATAAAATTGGTGGCGGTTAGATGGGCCACCTACATATCATTTCAATATTCTCTTCAACGGTAAAGAAGCATATTAATTGGAAATTAATTTTGCTGAATTCTTATTTAGTTATTTAGGCTGGAATCTTGTGTGACACTGAAACTTGTGTCCCGATATTGGTTGATAAGTATTGAAGTTCCGGCATTAAGTTGCAACTTGGATGAGTTGGCTTGGTACTTGTGAAATATAGGCTCAAGTACTGTGCTTCAGAATAAAGGTTCATTTTGGGGCAAGTAGATTATGATAAAATGGGTAAACTTCGTAGAGTCTCATTCTAAAGGAAAACAAGATGTACCTTGAGTTCTATTGGTTATTCAGGGATTTATAAGGAGTGAAATGTCCGATGTTCCATTTTTAAATCGATCTCATCGGATTCTCGCTATTTTATAATGGAAATATTCACACTATCATTTTGTTCAGATTTATTGTTTGATTGATTGATGCTAAAACGTAGTGTGACCATGTGAGATATTCATAAAATTTGTCCATATTGCTGTCAAATTCTATATGAGAAGCATATTTCTCCTTCCATCCTACTTTCACAGACTCGTATATTTTTTTGTATGGCTTGAGTTAATTTTTGTTGTTACAATCTTGTCAAGATTTTTAGTTTCTAAAACTCTCTTAGAATTTTTCAGATGGAATCTCACTTGATATTTTCTTCTCTTAAGTTAAAGATTACAGCATTATAACATTTATTCATATGATAAAAATACCTGACTTCATCTTTTTCTTTAGGTTTCAGAATCGACAGATAAACTTATTAAGCGAAGGTTGACTCAGTTTACTTTAGGGGAGCCTTGGGGACAACTAGATGTTCCACAACTCTCGTTGGTGCTGTTGACTGGCATATCAAAATCCGATTTTCCGAGTGAGAAATCATATATTCACTGGAAGAATAGACAAGTAATTTATTGTTACTTTTACTTTATACGTTTCCTTTTAGTTTTTGGGGCAATTTATTTTTGTTTGAATTCTACTTAAATTATTTGTTGTTTTTGATTGGCTGATATTTATGCCATCTTATAGTTAAGAACAAAGATAGTTTCTTCATCTTTTTCTCAATTTTATACCTACGAGAATGATTTTTATGCTTGATGTAAGGGAAAAAAACTTATAAAGAATTTTGTATACACGAGATAGATTTAGCTCCTGTGAGGAGTTCTGAAATTAAATGAGAAAGAAAATTATTAGGTGAGGTATTGATTAACTTTGAAGTGACAACAAGATGATGGAAATGGAAGCAATTTGATGTGACATATGCGCCTAATCATTAATCTCATATGTTGCGGAAGGATGGGAATCAGCCAGTTGAGCTCAACATGTTTAAAGGACATATTTGGAACAACTGAGAATCATAGATCAGTGAAAAAGGGCTGGAGTAAACTGGTGAAGATATCCTTGACAATGATTTACGCTGTGATACTCTTGATAGGATCTGTGTTATCAAATGAGTTAGAATCAGCTTTAGTTCTAGTGGAGAGTACAGAACTATCAATCACGATTAATGTTATGTATGCTTGGGTACGCGAATAGAAGCATGCGTTGCATGGAAAATACTTTTTATGTTTATGAATGGTAAACCACCAATGATTTTTTGATCAGGAGGATTGCTTTCGTTGGTATTCTTGTTAATGGTCAAAGACGAAGAAAATATGCTGAACACTGAAATTATAAAGACAATGTATAAAGGCTAATTTTTTTCTTTAAAGGAGGAAATATCTTTATTTAGTTGATTATCCCTGAAAGGAAGGTACACAAAAGTTGTAGCTAATAGTTTGAACTTTACGTGTGTATATGAAATGGATTACTTGTATTTATGCAAAACTACTAGGTATTTTCTAAAAAATTTACTTTTAAATCTCTTGAACTTATTAAACTCCAAAACATCTTCCATTTCATTTACCTTGTATTTAGTATCGAAATTCACAGATGATTGAAGTGTTTCAGCTATTGACCATCTTTCAACGGTGTTATTATAGGCAAATATTATAGAAGAACTACTTTTTTCTGATTATAAGAAGACTGAAAAGCAGATCATTGAAACTTCACTTGCAAAAGTTCGAGACTCAAAGGTATCTCTTTCCTGTTTGCCAGGTTTGATAACCTAATAACAGATTTTGACTGATTAGACTACTTGAATTTTTATGTGATCTAGGAATGGGATGTGAAGATGTCTCCTTCTGAACGCAGTGAAGTCCTATTAACCATCAGACAAGTTGCTCTGATATTCTCATCAATGCCTGCACGTTTTGGCATTGAAGGAGAAACTTACTATTGGACTACTGGTTATCATTTGAACATTAGACTTTATGAAAAGTTACTCTTTGGTGTATTTGACATTCTCGAGGATGGACAGCTTGTAGAGGTGTTTGTGTTTTCTTAACTGCATTTATATGAACAAATTTCAAGCCATACAAAAAGATATTAGTATTTATATGTCAAAGTTTTGATGGTAGTTATTTGGGTTCTGTATCAGGAAGCGGATGAAATTCTAAACTTCCTGAAGTTGACCTGGTCTATGTTGGGTATTACACTTAGACTGCATCATGCATTATTTGCGTGGGTGCTGTTTCAGCAGGTATACATTGCGTGTGGCAGTTTTAATTGCAATTTAGTGTGTTAATACTCGATAATTTCACGTAATTGCAAAGACGTCTCTTGCCCAAGTCTTTGTCTCGTGTCATTTTAATAAGAGGACGTATTAGACTTAATATAGGTCCATTAAGAGCATTTGAGGATGATGTAGAACCATGTTTGAATCCAGTGCTTTTGGTTTTTACTACATGTGGGCTCAGATCTTGCTAAACTGAAGGTTGTGTTTGTTTGCCCTGCTTTAGAAGAAAATTTTGATAATTGTGCTTTTGATGGAAGCACTTCCCCATTTGCTTTTCTAAGAATGTTCCTGAAAAATGGGCAAACAATTGGTATTCTGTCCTGTAACGACTGGATCCAACACATGTTAGGAATCAGAAAATGAAATGAGACAGCATTCCCAACTTAATGTCTACAATATTTTGATGATCATATTCTAAATATTTGTCTATTTTATGCGCATAAAACATCTCAGACCTTTGCGAATTTGAAATGATTAAATTCATGCTATGGTTCAATGGATTTCTAGATGTACAAGGTCAATTGCTTTTCTGGAATGTAGCTTCCTACTTGTTGGCAGTGTGAGGCGCTTTCTTTGTGAATTTGGAGTTATTTTATGGTTTATGACATCTCTCTTAATTTTAAGTTTTTCTTTTAAAAGAAATACCTCATTTTCGCACTCTATTATTATTCTTCACCCTTTCCTTACCTCCTTTTTACCTGCCTGGAATAATGTGTTCTGGTTTAGCCCATTTATATTATGACTATATTCAGATTTCTCTTTATAGGTGCTGTGATGTTGTACCTACAATGCAAGTTGTTATATTATTTTTAATGCATTTTCTTCATGATGGAAGTTTACTGCAACAGAAGAGGTGACACTATTGGACTATGCAATTCTTGAAGTTGAGAAAGTTCTATCTGCTAAAGTTAGTGACGAGAAGGAAGTGGCTTACACGAAGAGTTTGCTATGTTTCACTGGCCGTAATGAATGTGAAATTAGATTGAATTTGCTGCAGTCTATTTTTGGGTCTATTAGCTCATGGTGTGACAACAAATTGCAGGATTATCACCTGCATTTTAGTCAGGTTACCTTCCATGTTTGACTGACTGCAATACTTGTTTGGTTTCTAAATTTGTAATCTGAGAGTAGCTGTTAATTAGTGAACCTGCTATAAAGATTTCATGACTGAAGAAATCTTCACTTTTCAGAAACCTTTGTGTTTTGAGAGGGTGATGACAATGGGATTGTCCGTTGGGGTTCAAGATTTTGATTCACATGGAAATATCCAGGTAGCGTTACTGTAGATGAATAGTTTCATTTGGTAGCGTTCTCTTTGGGTTATAAAAGGATAAATTCCATGGCTAACTGTTGAAACTTGACTAAATACTGATATTTAGAAATCTCCAATATTTTAAGGTGGTAAGCTGAAGAGTTGGATTTTGTGTCAGGATCTTGATTCTATCAGTCTCTCATTTGGCATCCTTTTTTTTTTTTGCTGATGATCATATTTGTAATATTGCTAGTATGAGTTTCTGCAAATTTCGTAATATTTGTTGTATTTAGCAATATTAAAGTCTTCCATTGAGTACTAGAGATTCATCTGGAAATTCTCTTAAATTATCATCTGATTGCTACACTCTCATGCTTGCAGTTTACAGAATCTCACCCTTCTAATGAAGTTGTTGCCGAAAAGGTTAGAATGTATGTTGAGACGTCTTTGGCTGCTGCATGTGAGAGGGTAGGCCACTTTAAAAGTTTGGACCTTGTAATTCTCATGTGATTTATAAATCTTATCACAGGCGATTGTTAATAACGATTCGTAATGACATTGACATCCAACCTGTCTGATCTCAGGTCACTAATACCACTAGTTTTGGGTCTACCAAAAATATGATACATCCTCTGTCTACACTTGCAAGTGAGCTGAGATTGATTGCTGAAAAGGCTCTCTCTATATTTTTCCCAGTTCTCTGTCAATGGTATCCCGAATGTACTATGGTCTCAGCCAAAAGACTGCACCAGTTTTATGGTGAAAAGCTGGTCTGGTTTGAGTGAAAATCTATACATGTCTGTCTTCTCTAGCTCTTTTCAGTTGGTTATATACTGATTCAAGTTCATTCTATTTTCTCTTCAGAAACCTTTCCTCAAGGATGTGACATGCCTTACTGAGGATGTGAAGAAAGTGCTTCCTGCAGCAGATGCATTGGAGCATTGCCTTGTTAAGCTTTATTCTTCTTCTTGTAAAGAAAAAGAGTTGCACTTTTTGTATGGCCAAGAATTTGACCATTACCAGGTTCGGATATTTTTGGAACTGGGTAACATTCTCTTATGCTTTACTCCTATTGTCAATGGACTGGATTTATTATGAACTTTTTGATTTTGGGCCTCAGAAATGTTACCTCTTTCCGCTGTTCTATTTTTCACCATGAATCCCTTTTAACAACTCATGAAAAACAGACACACTAGTGTCTATATTGCTTGTTCCTGCTTACAGCTACAACTTGCTGTTTGCATGAAAGCTTGGTATTTAGTTTCCAACTCTTTTGTGAACTTTATTTGTTAAAGTTGTTGATGAATTTTGGAAATTTTTATTAAATAGAACTCAATTCAAGAAGTTCATCAATCATGATATAAGAGCATTTTAGTTGGCAAATTTTTTTTTCCTGAATATTATTCATTGTTTCTTTATTTTTCAATTTTAGCTGCAGTGGTTTAAGCAGAGTTGTTAAAAGTACCTAGGTTCACATCTAAGAGAAACATCTCAAAAGCACCAGGCGGCTCAAAATTTGCAGAATGCTAGAAAACTTCTGTTTATTAAATTTGCTGTCAAGTTCTTCTTTAAGATTGTTAAGTGGTGATGATTTTTTGAATGCTAAAATTGGGCAAACATCCAAAGTAAGGCATAATTTTTTGTTCAAGTGTAATTCAACAAAGGAAAATGTTGAACAGTGAAAGTTTTTGAATCATGTAACTGCTACCCCTTATTGCTTCACCTTGTTCATGACCTGTTCTTGATATGCTGTCTGTTCATTCTCCTTCGCTCCTCTCCTCAGATTGCCGAAATTTCAAGGTCAATAATTCTTGACTGGGTAGTTGCTCAGCATGAACGAATCCTGGAATGGACTGGACGTGCTTTTGACCTCGAGGTTTGTCTCATACATAGAATTCTGCTACCTGCAATTGTGACTATGCTATGTTCTAGCAAATTCTTAAAATATATTCCGACATGGTTAGGACGTTTGCTTCTAGGTCTCTTTACAGTTTGTCACAGAAAACCTTAAAACATAGAGCAGTAGTGTTGGGATCCTATGTGGTCGTTATGGTTTCATGAATCGTGATGAGCAGATGTTACGTGGTTCAGCTTTTTTGGTATCTATATATTTCTTCAAGGGTTCAATAATCTATAAACACATTTTAGCTTACTATTCATTTATGTTGCCATTTTACAGGACTGGGAACCTTTATCTTCTCAGCAAAAACAAGCAGCTTCAGCAGTTGAAGTGTTCCGGATCATAGAGGAGGTATGTGTAACTGCTATAATACAACTTATGCTTTCAGCATCATAAATGTTAATGAGGTATGAGTTCAATAAAGGATGATGATTGGACACACTATTAGAAATGATTCCTATTGCACTAGAGACCCATAAATGTTAATGAGGTATAAGTTCAATAAAGGCTGTTGATTGGACACACTACTATAAATGATTCCTATTGCACTAGAGACCCATCAGTTGATTAATTATCTTTCTATTCATTATTTTGTTTCCTGCATTCTCAAACACGTATCAGAGATGATTCTGGGGGTTGTCTCAGGGTTGCACAAGTGTCACACTTCTCATACTATTCCAAATGCATTACACTCCATAGAAGTTTCTGATAGGTCTGAACAATATTCCACTCGTATTGTTTCTTATGATGTTCCCAATTTCGATCATTATCCGTAGAAAACGGAGTGATGAATTCTGAGCTTCGAGAGGGTAGATTCAAGTTGATCCCTTGTCACTTGTTTAAACAATAACGATAGATGTCTTACAGAGTCAAGTGGAGCTGTGGAGGGGATGAAGGCGGCTTCGTTGGAAGAATTTGAAATATTAAAGGATAGGGTGCCTATCTCTCATTACAATTTGTACTCTTTCTGTTTGAAAGGTTTAGAGGCTCATTTTCATACCCTTGTAAGGAATATTTAATATTTTTATGTCCATATCAGGTCTGAAGTACAATTAAAAGTTTGGAAAAGGGGATTAATGTTGGGTAGTACGTTGTTTAAATTTGGCATCTGGGATTGATTATTCAGTTGATTTGTGGCCTTTGAATACCTGATGGTGCGGAAGCGTTTAGAAATTCTTGTAATAAGAATTATGTACTTTGGGAAGTTTGCACGTGTATTAGGTCGCCTATTTTTCCAACTATGTAAAGGGTATTAGGGAGAGCCCCTTTTGTGGCGTCATGTGTAAACATACAACACATTGTAATTCTCCTTCTTTGACATAGTGAACTTTTATAGTGGTAAGAGGACGTAGCTCTTGCATTGAGAGTGAACCACCCTAAATTCTATGTTCTTACATGCTTTTGATTTTTCTTTGTCTTGTGTTATTATTACTCTTGGTAAAAAGGGATGAGCAATTAAACCTTTTCAATATATTTGTTCTCTATATATCTATAATGACCCGGGTATTTATATTCAAGCCGTTATATCATTTGTACTGTTGAGAATTCAACTTAAGTCTCTTATTAGGCAAAGGTCTTGAGTTCGAATCCTGGGGGACGCGATAGAAAGCAGTAGAAGGTAAGTGGGCATATGCCCACCCAGAGCGGACACTTGTCCAATTGGTATCAGGATTCAACTTAAGTCTTTCATTAGGCATAGGTCTTGAGTTCGAATCCTGGGGGATGCAATAGAAAGCCGTGAGGAGGTAAGTGAGTATAGGCCCATCCAAAGTGGACAGTACGTAAGTTAACAATTTGGATATATAGACTCGATCTTTACAATATATATCCTAAATTCACATCTAGCTGATTTTAAGTTGGCCTGAAGCATGAAGTTTCTTTTCAAGTTAGCTTTATTCTCATGTAAGATTTGCCAAGGTGTATTCTTATTTTCTTCTATCAATCTATATGCTACTTACCCGTATACTAGGATCTCAAGTACTTCTAGTTGGGCATTTTGCGTTTTCTTTCATTTATTAAATAATTATTTGTTGGATTTTCTAATTGAATTTGTGGCTCCAACGTCTGAATAATTTGCAGACTGTTGATCAATTGTTTGAGATGAGCCTTCCACTAGACATCACACACTTGCAAGCTCTGCTGTCTATAATTTTCCACTGCTTGGATGCCTATTTGGTGAAAGTGGTTAGCCAGTTAGGTAAGAACCCTCTGAGATCTTCTGCTCAGTATGTGCTTTTTTATTCTTTTATTAACTTCTGTTGGCACTTGCAAGTATATATGCTAATCACTAACATGTACACAATTAGTCAAATTGAAGTTCTTGCCCTCAGCTTTTAACTAATGAGGCTGGCGATGCTTCCATCACGCTAGGTTATCAAATTGACTTTATAGCAATACATGCTTTTCCCTAAGAGTTTGTACATGGGACGAGAATGTGATGTTTGTTAAGGCTGATATGTTAGTGTCTGGTGTGGCCAAGTTTGGGTTTCTCCACTCCGTTAAAATTCGTAGCAATTTCATGGTACTCAAACATTAAATTAATTTTACTTTGTGGACTATCAGTCATCTGAAGTCATTGCAAATCATATTTTGTTCTTGTTCAGTAAAATGATTATCCTATCCATAGTGCGAATGCTGGTCCTAAAAGGATTTATAGAAAAAGCTATGATACGAATTCATGGCCCTGCTTAAAAGAGTATGTATCAATGTATGGGTGCATGTGCTAACTGCTAACATGCACGATTTGATTGGTCTGGTTTCTCTGTCTTCCACTATCATATGTTTATGTTGGTTTTTTGGTTTTCCTCAATGCATCCCTAGCTAAGACCAATTGTTTTGAAGTTGATGCCATCAGAGATGCAAATAGAGAGGATTGAATTATGCTTTAAGAGTTGTTTTCAGGATCTCGAAACAGCAAACATCGTGGATCGTTGCCTTCATATGATTTTAACCTTATCACTTTACAGTTTGGAGTTCTAGTGTAACGACTCAGGTCTCTATATCCAAGCCGTTAGCTTGAGTACTGTTTGCTTTGGGTGGGCATATGCCCACTTATCCTCATTGTCCAATTAGTACCAAGATTTAACTTAAGTCTCTCATATGATGGAGGTCTTGGGTTCGAATTCTAGGGGATGCCATAGAAAGCCGTGATGGATAAGTGGGCATATGCCCACCCAAAACGGACAGTACGCAAGCTAACGGTTTGGGTATAGAGAATTGGGTGGAGCAGTTATCTTACGTACTGTCCGTTTCGGGAGAGTCTAGGCCCATCTTTATCTCTCACGGTTTTCTGATTTGTCCCCAGGATTCGAACCCAAGACTTCCATCATATGGGAGATTTAAGGAAATAGGAAGCTAAAGTAATTCTGATTACCAGATTTTTGGTATTCCATGGTGAAGACAGTATCTCATTTAGAAGGTTTCCTCAAATAGTTTATTGCACTTCATATTTGCATGGCAGGAGAGTTATAACTCATTATTTCTCAGGTTATTCCCCCGCAGAAGACGTTTATTAAGTGGACTCCTGCAGCGTGTTTAGAAAAACCTCTTATTTTGAACTGAAAGCGCTTGAATTCCTTTTAGCTAGGGCTCTCTGCAGCGTAAAGCTGAACCCATAGGAAGAATGTTTGGTCCAAGACAGTCTAAGGCCTCAAAGTCCATGATTTTTAAAAATGAAATGATTGGCTTTGATTGAGAACAGTTTTATGCATTTGTCATCCATGCAAAAGTCAAGCCTATAGAATGTTCTTCTTGTTGACTTATTAAGCACATTAAAGTTGACATTTTTTTACATGATCTTTCTACCCTTCGTTCATTTTTTTTATGCAGCCTACTTGCAGGTTCCTGCTTAAACTAAGATGATAACGGCTTTGCATTTTTTAAGTGCAGTTGACAAGCGAAATCTGTATCCTTCTACTCCTCCTTTGACTCGTTACAAGGAGACAACATTTCCTATTGTCAAGAAAAAGCTGACAGAGCATATGATTCTTGACAACGAAATAAATAAGAAGTTGAATGAATTGACTACTCCCAAGCTATGTATCAGATTGAACACTTTTCGAGTAAGTGAAGGTTTTTGTCTAGTTTTGTCCATAAATAATTTCAGTCAATATAATTCTGTAGGTAGTTCTATCCTTTTGCAAACTATAAGATCTTTTACAATTTTAATTGAATCTGACACTTGTTTCTCATGTTACTTTTAAAAATACTACTGTGATCAAATGATTGTTTAATATTGTACTAATTAGACAGAAATGGATACGTCTTGTTTAAATAAATTTCAGATTGTCTGCAGGAAGCATAAATGATAATTATTCCAACACATGAATCTTTTCTTGGAGGGGAGGGGATACAACTTGGGGCTTAAAGTAAATGCAAAGAAGTATGTTGCATGAGTAGTGCCTGTTCAACCAATTAAACCATAGAGTAGCCCAATGATTTTGACAATGGACTCAATTGTATCTGAAGAGATGAATTTTACTGACTGAATGACCACCTTTTCGTTTTAAGCCCCTGTTTTAGCCACATTAAGAGGGTGTTTGGCGGGGATTAAAATTAGATTTTTAGTAGATTGTGATAGAAGTTTTTGAAATGTGTGGTTGAAAAGTTGTGGGACGCATGAGGTTAATATTGATTGTTTGACTTTGATTTAGATTAAAATCAGATTTTAATCCATGCCAAACAGGCTCTAAAATTTTCATTCTCATTCTTCTACTTATTTTCAACTACACATTCTTCATTAAAATAATATTTTCCATCACATCAATAATTTTTCCTTCTTTTTCAACCACACATTCACCATCAATCTACAATTCCAAAATACATTCTTCCAAAATAATATCCATCAAACACACCCTTA